CTGTCGGAAGCAACATAACAGAAATAATCGTTGGATGGCAATCAGGGTTATAGTTTCCAAATTCTGTCGTCTGGATTGTAAAACACTGGGATACCGTGAGCCGGATTGGAGACACATTTGTAGATATAATAAAACTAAGTACTGTAGATATAATTTAAAACGATGTAAAAATTTTGACAGCGTTAATATAATTATACCAGTCCTACCATGTATCATTGATATGAACTACACGTGAATATATGGTTGCATTCCATCAAAATCAACATAAATTTCCGTTGTAAACAAGCAACAATATTTACTGTTGACCAAAATCAATTGTATGCACTGCATCACGATTATAAACAAAACAATAACTAAAGACTTATATATATACAAGAGAAGCTCCATTAAGAAAGTTCGTCAATTCTTTTCAGTTGTATAGACGTCAACCGTAAATGCTTTTCCTGTCATACGAGGATGTGCTCTGTAAACGCTAAGTTTCAACTTAATTGCATTTATCTCTGCAGCTAGAGTGCGAACTTCCACTGTTAAAGTTTCCATCAATGTGGTCGGCTGATTTTAATAGGAACATCGAAACGTTACAAGCAACCCCTAATGTGTAAAGGGTACATTATTTTTGATTTGATCACCACTCGATCAATTGATACGCTCCCTCCCTGTTTTTAAGTGCTTTTTCAGAGAAATTTCGAGGGATTCGTGTGTTGCGGACAACGAAAACGTAGAACTACTCCTAGGTTTTAGGCATCCTCTAATGAAAACGTTCAATTTGGCCTAATGTGACAGAATTTCCAGTTTAATGTAAACTCTTTCATTAATTGTCTGGATGTCAGCCGTTCGCTCCATACATGGACCTAACATTTCGTGATATGTAGACACTATTGTTTGTACTCAGCCGTACTATGTACAACTACAAGTAATTCGATTTGAAAAACACCCATCTTCCACTCGTGGTTAGAACGTAGTAGCATGTTTTTATAACGGTGGTCGAATTTCGTCAGCCTTCGGTTCCTTCACAGACAAAATGCCAACAAACACCCGGATACTTGCCATCTAATGCATTTTCTCAAATCTTAGAATACAGACCACTTTTCAGTCAGACATACAAATCCCAGTGATTATAAAAGTTCGAACAACTTGCTGTATTATGTGCTCGGTTATTTTACTTGAATCTTTCCACAACTCTTAGCCTAAGAAAGCATCTAAAAGACTTTTCTAGCCTACATCCATGGGGGAACGGCTCCAACTTGTCTGGGCATTGTAATAACAATAACTTACGCGCTAACAACGTCACAGCATAGTGTACCAGAACGTGTCATGCTATCATCTATTGATTGACATAATTGCACGCCCGGTCGTATACTGAACTTCTAGTTGTACGTATGGCGGCAAATAGTATCAAATCAGTACAGGAAACATCCTATTGATCGTTTTGGAACAGATAATTTCAGCTCCGCGCTAAACTCTCTCCAGAGGCGATGGTTTACAATGAATGTGGTAACGATGCAGAAACATCTAAAATAATAAAGAAATATGAACTAAAGCGCTTCGGATGGCATCCTACAAGAGCTTGGAGTGCTTCAAGAAATGCAATTCGTTGTCCATTGTATACTACTTAATGCACCTTGTCACAGATTAGTCACGTTAATGGTCGTTCGCCCTAAACGTTAATCATTCATCAATAACTAACTTACCTGTGATAATCCAACATCTGGAATCCCCCGTAGTAACCGCCTGGCTACGTCACTCGTTCGCCTTGAACTAACGAGCTATCGGACCACATTACTTTTTCGATTTATGGTCGACCTGTTATAAATTTGCCAAGTTTTAACCTTCTCAGTCCAAGCGAAGGTTGACTAAGTGCTTTCTTCTCTAGCTCACTCTTTTCGGTTGTCGCATCTATCAAGCGAGTCTTCGCAGCTCCATCATTAACGACGCGCAATCGAATGGTAACAAAGATTACATAATACAAGGGTCACTGTCTATAAGTTAATGACGGGCCATCAGAATTGATGAAAAGTCTAACATAGCTATCCTGAATAGATTTCGTTGGCCTTTAGAGACAACACTTTTAGCTGATCTGTTCCATAGCCTTTCATATGCTGCCATAGTGGTAATTAGTTGCTTTGCGTATCGGCCAGGCCGTTCATTTGGCTCGTAGCCTTCATTTTGAATATTCAAGTTCGAACGCTACCTAATTCTATATCTGGGCTGCGCTGCTACGCGTCTTACTTTGTACTGGCGGCAGCCTTACTTTGCACTTCCTGCCGGCAAGCGAACCGTCTCCTTCAACGTGCATGACTTAGAATTTATTATCTTTGAGGTGATTTTTCGTGGCATAGCGTAGGGGAGTTGAACATGTAGATGGAGGAATTGCATCACTAAAAAAGTAAAAGTCAAATGGGTATGTCATAAAATATGGTTCTACTATAACAGAAAAAAGGGTACGCTGTCCAGGTTTGAGTCGAGCGGATAATTTTTTTCTTAGAAATGTTAAAAATTTTTTTTCTAAACGAAAATTAACACACCGTTTTTTTTTTAGCTGAAGCCATATTTTTCTAAACTTTCCTATTCGGCACCTTCATCTACATTTGCACGGTTCATACAAACCGCCTTACTGAATTGCATAAATAGCTATGACTTCACCAGTACAATAAGTATCTTTGAAGCAAGGCTACTTACTGCGAGAACTGCTTGTTGTTCTTCTTTACTTTAAAAAAAAAAATGACTATATTGTTACGTGATGAATAAAGAATGGTGGAATTATATGGACCAACCTATACTTAACGCGAGCACCAAACACAGTCGTTATCATAGAAGAAATTACTGTGTTAGCATTTTCGCCGAAGACTCTTTAATCTCATTACATCTCACTGATCCGAAAATATTAATGGACGATGTTTATATCGTTGATTCGTCGTATATGAAATTATATGAACTAGAGGTAAGGCAACATGGGTCACTAATCTTTTCCTATGATTATGTTAGTCACCCAATAAAAGCTAAAAGAAAATCCTTGTCTTCTGCAAAAAACGACGACACTTTATGATGATTTATTAGCTAACCCAGTTAGTTAGCTCAAACATTATGATTCATCTATCGTACGTTTTGTTACGCGACGTGAAACAGTGTTTCCGATAGCCCAAATTAGCCCATCTGCGAACTGCATTTTGTTCGAGGCGTAGCATCATCTGTACCGTTCTTCAATACCAACAATGTATGTGCCGGCGATAACGTTAGCTTCATACGAAAGATAAGAAAACGGGAATTTGTTTCGAAGCGATTTCAATAAGGCATGCCCAACATGCAGCAGCCACAGAATTAACTTAATTTATATATGATTGCCGTCTATGAACCTACGGTGCAAAAATACACTGATCATTTTATTTCTTTATGGGTTAGCACACGTTTGACCTAATACGAAAAACATATTTAGCTACATTATATATATATATATTTCGAAATTTTTGAAAACTTTTGAGATTGCGATTATTTTAGTTGCATGTATGGAATTGTAACTCGGCTTTATTAACCGTCCATCAAAATCCGCTCCCCCGCATAAAGATCCAGTCCGCCATAAAAATACGTTGTTATTTCAGAATCTCGTGTTCAGCAATCATCGATTTGCTGAGAGCTTAAAAGCGTAGCGAATAGTAAAAGAGAGAATTTATATCGTCAATTTTTTTTTGTTTATATTTTACAATCCAAACTGTTCCTGTCTATAAATTGTTATTCAATCAGTTGTATTTATTAATGTTAGGCACATAGGGTGAGGGTACCTTGGGGCTGCTTGTTGACTGCGACATTCAATGCATTAAACTTACTCTTTGGCAACGGAGACTTACTGAGACCCGATTATAACAGGATGATTTTAAAGGCTGCCTGAACAGGTGATCTACTGTTTTTAAAGATGAGATGACCGAGCGTAGAAAAAAATTTTTCAGTATGGAGTTAGATGGACTCCTTCCATATTTGTCTTCTATATTATCATATTTAGGGTCGTATTTCAGACGCAGCCAGCTTCTAGCTAGTTAGAATCGAGGAGCCTATCTAATATAACCTGATCTTTACATTAAAATTGTGTTACACAGCCAAGAAGTATAGTATTTCGTTCGTCTGTTCAACTTTGTAACACTATGGATAAAGGTTTTTTTCAAATTAATTCTCAAGAAAATTCCGCCTCGTCGCATACAGGATATATTTACTTCTGGCCACTCATGCAAAACGCACTGAAACGCGTCTAAGAGAAACGTACTGTTTCAAATAATAGGAAGAATATTCGCTTATTTCGCTAGTTTGCCTTTCAATTATATTATACATAAGAAAACACGGCCTACGCCGAAAATAGCACACTTTTAAACTTAGCTAAATACTACGTAATTTTATGGTTAGTATTATTTACACTGCACTAACTGTCTTACCCTTTCGCTTAACTAGCACACATTATAAAGACAGCAAGCTACACCTGTATATTTGTTTGACAAAAAACACAATTATTGCTATCGTCTATTGAAGTAATCTTTCTTGACAAAGAGCCCAATGAGGAATAACCCCTGGTTAGCCCAGTCCACCCCCGGCATCAGATAGTTTTCCTCACAGCGTGTCCTGCTCGTAGATAGAAAATCCGGTGGTGCCGTTAGGCGTTTCTTGAAACGGCACATTATCGTACAACTCTATGCGAAGTTCGCGCGCAGCTGTATTTTCTTTCCTTTCAAAGCTATCCTCCTTTAAGCACCTAAAGACCTCCCTGTCATTCTTCAGCTGACTCGGGCGTTTTGCGCCAGCTTGATGTTTATTGGAACAGCTCTCGTTGGCCTCTTCTCTCTCTGTTTTTTCTATGCCTACCCATACATCGGTAAGTAATAGTCTCTATCCATGTGAATGTTGTGCTGTCTCTATCCGCCTCCCCCAATGCGTTGTTTACAACTGTCCTAAAATCAAACGACTGTTATGGAAGCAGACGACGCGGACGTTGATTCGTCCGCAGCCGTCAACCCACCAATGCTGTTTGCTTGCTCTAGTGGGTAGCAGGTCTCGGATGATGCACAGAGGCAGTTGGAGGAACAGCTAAAGCCTTCACTCGTTCGACGATCGGGCTGAGCCCTCCTGTCAAAGATTTCTTGTATTGTTGTCAGCCAATCGGCACTTGATAGTAACTGTTACTGCTGCTATTTTCTGTGTTGCTGTGATGCGTTTGCCTCCTGTACGACAGTGGGGGCGGTAGAAGCCCCTGCTGCCTCTGGCACATGCGAGTGAGATCTGCTAAACTGATAACTGTCAAAAACCTATTCAGGCCTTGACAACAACAACAACATCAAAATTGGTCTAATGTTTTCGCCCAGCGCTTGCAACGGATATATCAGTTCCTGTGTTTAGAATTATCACGGCGCGCGACCGGTTTACTTGTCCGTCAAATGTGGAATGATGTTCAAGTTCATATCTTTAGTATCAAGATGAAAGAAATGGGTTTATTGATAATCCATCGCGGACGGTTTTCGTTTGGAGGTGCAGAGGCCAGTGTCGACTAGCCAGCCGGGCAGTCGGAATTTATAAAAGCCATGACTGAATATTTATAGTCAATTGAGGTGAGTTCAAATTAAGTTAGTCAATTCAACTAAGTCAATTCAACTAAACAAACGATACAGGGTGCTTAGCACTGAAAACTGACCGACAAAAAAACTTAAAGGTCAGTGTGGTATGGTTAAGTCCGTGTCATTGAACATATTCGAATCAGAGAGATCTGGTGCGTCATAGAAACATGGGCGGCAGCTCTGTTTAAACTGAATTCGCAATTGCTACAATTTATTACTACCATATATTTTTACCGCTCTATGAAACAATACCTTTATTTACTTACTTTGCGATTTTCAATATTAATAGCTAAGCATATCGATACAATAAAGCTCAACTTAGATGTCTTTACATATATTTTATACCCTAAAAAATGTTTGTTTTCAGTTAATGTTTTTGCCTAACTAGTTTTAGATGATATTTCCTATTGGTTATTAGCGACAACAGTTTATATAGTGCCATCTCTATAGCAAATAGTCGTTATCGTCGATCTCGTACGTCCTATTATCGTGGATACAGCCATTTGCCCCGTTGATCAAAATCGGCTCTATAAGCGGGACTCAAGCTGGACACGCATTTTGCCTGCTCCTCTATTAAAACTCAGTTACCGATGGGCGATACTAGTGCTTGATCACGACTGGATAAACCCATACATATGCCTAACAACATCTTGCCTACTGTTTGACGTCGTAAAACCATTTTTCATGCACACTTTAACCCTACTGTTACGGATTTTTTCTTATTTTGGCATTGATCTGCTATGTCTGCGTATTTCACATTTGGCTACCACTGTACCCCATTTACTTTGTACTGTTCAATTCTCCACCCCCGCTCTATCCTTCCGATTTTTCGATGTAACTTTATTTAACATAAAGCATATATTTTGACCTGCTTACGCTCGCTACGATCTGTTCAGCCTGCTAAAGTAGCCGACTGTGTCCCTTAATTCGTTAGCGACACCTGGTAATCGCTGGTAGTAAACGAGTGTACCTCCAATCTTCCACAACGGCCTACTCCGTCCTGCTACGGGCGGCCCTATCGCTCTGTAGACGCGAATCGAAGTCGACTGCGGTAGGCTGAAGGTATCAGAAAGGGACATTCCATAACGCGCACGTCATACGCGGCCAGTGGCGCGGAGCCGTCAGCGATCAAACAAACGGCGAATGAACTATCACCGAAGCAACCGGTGACGATTGAGATGGCCGCGCTAACTTGAACGAATGGACAACGTATCACAGGGCAATCAGTCTTCCCAGATGTATGATCGTTGGCGTACGTGTGATATGGGATTTATCTGATCTGCTTCTATTGATCACTAACGGTGCGGTTTTCGCTGCCTAGACAACAGTCTTTATTAACAGCTATTGCGGTCGACGGTATATCTGTTTCCGCTGCTGCTGCTGTTATGGAGTGACGTAATTGGCACCTGTAACCTGAGCATAGCTATAGGTACGACAACAGGCCGTTAATGATGAATAGGGTGTCTGTCGGTGGTTCCAATATTCATGCTTTTTGGTAGTGACTGTCTATGGACGTCTCCGCGACGATGCTTGTAACCACCATCGCAGCGAGCGCCAGCCCGCTGCTAGGCTAATGCCTCTGAAACTATGCTTAATTGGCTTTCAAAAAGAGTCCTAAAGAGAATAACAGTGTTCTACAGACATAAATTTCAATTCGTGTATTCTTATTAACTTCTAATGGTGCAATGGTTCGTTATAGAAAGCTGTACGTTAAAAGTCAGAATTACAATCACAGAATGCACAGATAGACACACACGCACACAGACATACACACACATACAAGTACACATATACATACACAAACAAACAAAGGCCCTATACATAGAAACACACTATTAGGAATGCGTCTAATACAACCAGTTATAACCTGATTACGCACTACGCAGATTGCCCGGAGATCACTGCATTGTAAACACATTACGTATTCATTAGCAAAATGTTTCGCCTAGCGAATTCATCTAGAACGGTCAGTACTAGTACGTGTGAGTGACCGACTCTTTGGCTCGCTTAGAGATCTCAAAAAACACGTGCATCGAACGATTGTGTTTCCAATACGTGTCAAACTAATCAATGACCCACGCAAACAACGTAAGTAATATAGCGTATACACATAAAGGGAAAGCTATTGTGCGACCAGTTTAGAGCGGGTATTTTTGCTCACTGTAATCGTGATGGCTTTGTTTTTATATCGTAGGCAATGCTCCATTGTAGTGTTTTCAGAGTCTTTGAATTGAATTAACGGGATCTATTAACGATTACGGTTGAAACGTTGCTCTTACGTGATCTTGTACGTGTACGAACACATAGCTTCCCGCGTGGAACTATTATGACGTCACGAGATCACTCGAATTTATAACGGCATAAGGTTTGCATCTGTGTCCCTATCAACGCTTACGTAGTCAAGATAAAAACACGTTGTCTAGCTTTCTCATTCATATCTCTCACGAAAATTCACCAGATGGGTTAATATCATAGTTCACTGGACAGCTGCCGCTTTGTCTATGTCGAATATTTTGAGGCTCATCTATGTGTTGTCCTGTGGAACTGTCTTGAAGTTGTCGTCGTAAATTCGAAGAGCATCACCGATCAGTAACATACTGTCCAATCAAACTGTAAAATAATCCTCAAATCATACATTGCATAAAGTCCTTCATGCTTCGCCTATACATCGGCTTTCTAAGGGGCAGTCATCAGCCATTGGCGACCAGTTACAAGTGCTTCAAATAATTCTGCTGGCTCCCAGTATTTGAACCTACCATAGAAAAACTAATTAACTTTGTCGATCTCACTTAAACGCCCCTTCAATGACTACTCTTAGCCGATTTACATAGAAACTCGCTGATTCGATTGTATGCATATTTATAAATAAAGTATTATTATACGTGTATGTATATACATTTGGTTTCTATTGCTGAGATTATATATGTCACAAAGAGGAAATTTTTGCCCAGTTTCGAACCTCGTTATTGATAGCTCGTCAGATAATATGCTAAGTTCACCTTTTTCATTTGATCAACGTTTGCGGTAAGTTTTACAGGCGATTGGCATAGAACTGCCAGCGCCCTAAGTCTACTTGCCATCAGCGGTAGAATCGTTCTTTGTGAACCGTTGGGGCGACAGTCACAGAATGAAGTGGACACCGGTGTCCGACAAACAGAAGTACGGCGTCGCCATCGCCAATTTTTTCTCAAACGACAAACCTCACAGACTTCAGCTGACAGTCGGTGAAACTGTTCATATTCTCGAGGAAAATGCTGACTGGTACGTTACGCCTGTCACAGATATACGTGCATGTGCATGGTTAAGAGCGTCATGTACCGAAAATATTTTAAGAGAAAATTGTACCTATTCATAATAATTCTTCGTCGGTATGATAATTGTAAATGGACAATGTCAAATTATCACTTTATCCGTGTCGTAAAATGTTTCGACGCAACATCTCAGACTTTTAACTAAAAGTTGCTATTATAATATATTGGCTAATTTTTTGCTAAAATGCTGTAACACACATTTCATATAGATTTCTATTAATAGATATAATTTGAATACTAAATAATAACTTCTGCTTGTTTCCATCTAATGCGTATACAGGTATTATGGGACTAACATGCGAAATCGAAAAATTCGAGGTATCTTCCCGAAAAATTATATTGCTATCAAAGAGTGCCACGTTGACAAAATTACAACGGTCGAGGAGGTCATCCCTAAAGAACCGGCTATCATCAAGGAGATAACAGCTGTACGTGTTAATTGGGATTACGAGAGAATAATACTTTAAAAGTACAATATTTGAGCAATTACCATATTTGTTTTTTCTTATGGCGCGCATGTCATAATCCCACCCACCCGTTTCTATATGATGTCAGTTGAAATGATCGTAGCTTTATATTGCGCGACACTTAAAGAATGTTTATCTTGCATATTGTTGCTATCATATTATAATCGAATTACTCGACTTATTAGGAGACGTATGGTATAAAACGCCCAACGAAGTTCGTACCGGAGATATTCTAGTTCTAAGCACCCGGCGTTACCACCTTCTCCATGCTGCGGCATGTAGCCGACAACGGTCATACGTTTTTCGAGATTAAGCACCATTGTATAATACAAGTGGCTCATATAAACTATGCCGAGTTTTGTCAAATTTCATCTAAATTGCGACTGATCTCGCTAGCTACTCTCTATGTCGTCAGGTATTGCGAGAATGGGGCCCGCTCTGGAAGCAGTTATATCTCCGGAATCGAACTTCCTTCGACACGGTTCGCTCCTATATATTTGAGCTGGTAGAAGCGCGGCGGAAGATCCTCAGCGGCACCCTCCCTATGGACGAGCTACGAGAAATCAAACAAAAAGTGATCTCCCGCATCGAGATGGGTAATGCGCTTCTCGATCTCGACATCGTCGTCAGGGATTCGAATGGTAAAGTACTCAGAGGGTTGGCTCGCTTCTATTGATTATTTATTTTTCTAGTTTTGTTTAGCGAAGTGCATAATAGAGATATGCTCCAATCGTTGTCCTCGTTAGCATATACAAGCCCTGCACTAACTAACTGCTCTTGTAAATTCATTGGTTTAATGGTAATTTTGATTAATTATAGTTTGGATTTGCTTAGGCCCCAACTGGGTATGAACTTGTAACAAGTTTGGTACACCATGAATGTTGTAAAATTGATCGAATGTTCATCTCGTAGGTAACATTATGAATCCTGAGTTCACATCGACGATTGCTGTTTACTTTGCTCACGTGGAAGCAGCTGAAAGAATTGCACTACAGAAAAGCGCGCAGGCCCAAATGGCGCAGGATCCGTATAGCTACAACATCACGAATAACAACCAGCGATTTAGTCAGAGGTCCTCCGGCGCCAACAGTAGCAGCAGCAGTGCGAATTTGGGCACCACGCATTGCCTGAATGTGATGGTCGTATTTCGACGTTTTGAAGGGGGCAAACTTACCGACGATGTCGATCTCATTATGTCGCTTTACGATCCAAAGGAAGCGAGGTTCATTACGGAGAATTATGTTGTCAGGTGCGAAAAACAGTGCATAGTTGAAATGTTTAAGCAAGATACCGCGTGGCTCAGCGTGGTCGTGTTAATTGAAGGATTTCTCTTAGTTCTGTGTGGTTGGCTTATTTTGAGAACAAACAACATTATTTGCGATCTTACCCTTAGGAATAACGCACAGTTTTGTATCTGGGACAGTATCTTTTCCAGTCTAAAACGGAAGGTTCCTGGAAAGTCACAAAAAAATTTGCAAAATGCAAAAATAGATTCCTGTCTAGCTTGAAATACTTGTGGTTCCGAATACGCATTCATAGCATTATATCGCTGCTGCCGCTACTAGGTGGACAAAAACGTCGACGGCGAACACCTTCGACTACAACTCGATGCGCTGTCTCTTCACCGACCTCGGCAGTAAAGATCTACGACGTGAACGTGTCTGTTTTGTGTGTCAAGTTGTCCGTATTGGGCCCATGGAGATGCGAGATCCAGAAACGCGAAAGAGTGGGAATATTGGCAGTATTACAGGTAGGTAGCAGTCGGTTCTATTCGATACTCAACGTGTTCATCGGAAGGTTACCTTTAACTAGTTCGGCTATCATAAGATGTAAAATGTAAAATAACTTTGCTTAAGACTGTAATTTAATAATAATATGCGATTATGCGTTTTGCTTTTTTAATTTGTCTATACAAGGAGATGTAGCGTAATGTTCATTTTGTTGCTGTTATTATTTTTATCATTATTATTAATGAAGTTAAGCAGAATATTGGTGTATTTATTTCACAATAACATGAAACCTTCTGGATCGGCTATCTCGTCAAACAGTTGCAATATTATGGGACCGACTTAACAAACAACGTAGTTCTTTTTGAACTACAGGTAGCTGATCCCTCTATATATTGCGTTGGCGGGCTATTCACGTTGGTATATTCCTGGCGTCTACGAAACATTGCAGGAAAAGTTAAAACTGAATCAGGCGATATGAGACGGCCGTTTGGCGTAGCCGTGCTTGATGTCACGGCGATCCTGAAAAGACAGACCGAAGGCGACGAGGAGAAGCCAACGTTTGTGCCTTGCGTACCGTGCGGTGAACACGAGTCGCTTGACGCTCTCATCCGGAAGGTGACCAACCTGAGTAAGGAGGTTACCCAGAAAGAACAGCGAGGTATTTACTTTATTAAATATTTTATTGTATGTAAATTTACCACCCGTTGTTTTATGTTTAAAAGTTTAGCTGATTGAGATACCGGATGAAAGATTAAAACATGACTTAGTTCTTATTAGATCCATATAGAAACTAGGCTGCGGAGTTTCCTTAAAAGTCAGCTCTAATTAAAAAAAAATGGGATTTTTCGAAGTAATGTGCAGCTTTAGGTATTAGGCTATAGTATAGTTGAAACATCCTGCTTTGAGCTATTATCATTATTCAATCAGCGAGCTCAAATGACATTCAAACATGAACCTTGCAAATTTGCACTCTCATAGTGATGAAAAAGCCTAAGTAACCGGTTTGCTGTGTCTTTTCACTTACTTTAGGGCTGCACCTCACGTTCAAAGCTTTACCTGGTGATCAAAAAACTGTCCGTGAAGAGAATCCCCACTTGATATCAGGCACGACGTCTCTTGCACGAAAAATGGGTTTCCCCGAAATCATCTTGCCCGGCGATGTGCGAAATGACCTTTACTTAACTGTTTTACAGGCGGAATTTGCGCGAGGAGGTGTGAAAACTGGAGGAAACATACAGGTATAGGGTTAAAGTTGTGTTCATACAACATTACTTTTCATAGAGAATGTCTTGTTTATACTTTTTTCAATTGTTCCTTCACGATTTAATTTTATCCTATACAGTTGGTGTTCGATTGTTACTTCCATTGGGTAGTATAATCAGCTTTTCTTGTTGAAACCGTTTGCATTTCGAATACACGTTTTCCGTTTTTTAGCTATAGTAATATGTCCCGTAAACTTTTACCTTGAATAAGTGTTTCCAAAGCATAAACACACGTATAACGATCCAGGTATTTGCTATGAAAAAATTATTAGTATAGTTCTCAATTATATATCATGCAGATGTGTAGACGTATTTCCTTTGTGGAGTAACGTAGAAATTTTGCTTTGCGCCGCATTGATGGCCAGTATGAATTTGGGCATGAGTTTCCACTAAAACATACCTTGAATTGACAACTGGAACCAAAGCTTTTGCATATTGGGCTTTGAGATGTTTTCTTTTCTATATATATATATTATATTATATGAATTCAATTTTCTCAAATATTTATCAAAGCCACTTATAAGCCGTTCACAGCTCTGACCTTCTATGATGCTTCTAACAATTAATTTCTGCGTTTATTAATATTGTGATCATAAAAACAAAGCGATTATTTACGTGGTTACGGGGAGCGAACGTCAGCTGCTTTTGTCGGTTGACCAAAAACAACTCGTGTGACATACGCACGGCTTTCTCGAGAATAGAGCAGAGTTATTAGTCTAATCGGCCGTTTCTGGCCGTCGCATGTGAATTTCGATTTCGATCATGTAATAAAAATTTTACATGTTAAGTGATATATGCATTGGCATTGCTTTTTAGAATTTCCAGTAGAATACCTTGTTGTAAATTTGGCACAAGCAAATAGCTGTAACTGATCCCAACGAAACTAAGCCGTCAAGGGTAGGGAGCCTTTTGAGCGGTGAGTATATTGGGTATACTGTCCTAGCCCAGGGGTGCAAGTCGGTCAGTGAGCGTTAAGTGAGGCTGGCTTTGCCGACACCTGAATAAAGTTACTGCGTGTGCACTACTTTTGCACTCGCAATTTTTGGAACCCCTTAGGGGTGCCACTTATAAAATCGGATATGAGCGGGAGTTTGTGTGAGGTGACAGGAATCTCCATGGATGCTTGAAATGTTCGTCCCTTTCATGTTCTGGTCTTAATTATGGGGTATATGTATACCAATAAGTAACTCCATCGACATGGTGTTATATCCGTGTTATCAACGTAGGAAGGTTGCAGTTTTAGCCTTACTGTTGCAATTTCCGTACTAAGCTATACAATATATTATTACAATTACATTATATGGCTTTGGATTGTTTCTATACTTCGTCGTCTTAAATTTACGTCACCGTCAGTCACTATTTACCTCATTTGGTCAGGTTAAACTTGCGTACTAATTTTTGAGATAACCGTTATTGTCGTAAGTGTCTTATGTACGAACCTAATCTTACTTGTTGGACGTGGAGCAATATAATAATTACGAAGCTATTGCTTTAGCTTTATGCGAAAAGTTTGAATACATGATTCTTTTCATGTATTCTGCTAATCTTTTTCAATTTATAGAACATTTACTTATATTCTTATTCTTACATTGACCTTTTTCTACAAATAATCCCCGTAAAATGTGCAAGTGTTGGCTTATATTTTACGGGTTACGCGTCTGAAGCTTTATTGTATAAGTGATTTTCCTATTTTAATCTACATGTTATTTATCTCTAAATCTGCGGTGCTTGTTCTTTTACATTTTATCTTTATTCAGGTAACAGTTAAAGTATGTGATGCACATGGCCGCGTCCTTCCGGGTGTTATCTCAATAGGCGCCGGTACAGAAAACACTTCTGAATATCAGTCCCTTATCTACTATCACGAAGACAAGCCTAAATGGAGTGAGACGTTTAAGGTTGACGTACCAATCGAGGATTTTTACAACGCACACCTTCGGGTAAGTCATCTGCGTCGCCATTCTCCAAACAGTCGTACGTAAATCCTCAGCTTATATCAACATTTGTGCTTTTCTTAGTTTATTTAATAACTGTTCTGTCAATAAATTTAGATTACGTTCCGTGAAAGTCGATACGGGTTACATGATCTACGATACACCCCTGTACTACTAGTAGTAGTAGTAGTAATAGGTCCCGTGACCCGTATCACAAGCAGTTCGTGAATTTATTGGGCCCCGAAAATTACTTAGCCCTTCAATTGTTTAACAGAATAACCAAGAGTCACGAAGAGCACAGCATAAATCACTTACTGAGTAGCTATCCAAGAAGTCAATGCAATCGCTGTTGCGATACGCGCCCTGATTATCAGCCTTCGTTTTCCCATGGCACATCAAAATATGCAGATTACGTTTCGGCACCGGTCATCGAATGAAGCTAAGGATAAAACGGAACGACCTTTTGGGATGTCGTTCGTCAAGCTGATGCAATCCAACGGTACCACACTGAGTGACAAGGTTCATGATCTGTTAATCTATCGAATCGACAATAAGAAATTCATGGAAAACGATACTTCCTACCTGGACACGCTGCCCTCGACACGAGAAGAACTGGCTGAGCTGGTAAGCAGTAATACGAATGTTTACAAATGGCTTTTAAAGCCAGATTTATATAGATGTAAAATGAAGCAATATCTGTAATAACAAAGAAAAAAAAAGTTATGGTATAGTGGTTGTTCGGTTTAATTGTTGTGCTGTGACTATGTATCTTTACCCCAAAACCCGATGCTGTTCACGATGACGGTTCCCGGACTGGCATAGCCAAATGGAGGATCTTCTCTAGGTAACAACAAGCTCGGTTTGACGCTGTCGTCGAAGGACTCCTTCCAGATTTCCACGCTTGTCTGCTCGACGAAGCTTACACAAAACGTTGATTTACTTGGTTTGCTCAAGTGGTTTGATAATAAGGCCGATTTGCAAAGGTGGGTTGAAAGAGAAGATAGTATAGATTCGTAAATGTAGGAAAGCTCTTTTCATGTTACGTATTTATTCATGTTCTTAGAGGATTTAGGACCAAATCAGCGTAATAATGTATCCATAAGGAGTGAAATTGACAGCCAATCAAGTGAAGATTATTTAAGTTTATAGAAGCCATAATTTTGTTTGTGTTTTAAGTAAAGTATCCAAGTGACCTCAACGCACTTATACCCTGACCTTTTACATCGAAGAATCGATTGAATATTATTTCTCTATAACGATATATTCATCCGATTTTGTGATTCGATTGCGTGTTAACCGCTGTATAAATGTAACAAAAAAAGAAAACGATATCGTAAGTAATCATATTCTAACTTAGAATATGTTTGCTGCCAAAGGATATATTTTCATGCGTCATTTTGCCTAATTTTCTTGGAAGGAGGTTTAATTTTTTAAAAGTGAATAGAATTTTGGAATATTTGATGACACACAAGTTCCACTACGGTGAAGCAAACAGTATTCGAAGAGCGATGGAGTTTTTTATTTGCGTAGCTACCGTCTGTCACAGCGCAGGTTGTGAAAAGAACTGCATATACTAATGTGTTGTATGAGTAACAAAATGGTTAGGCCTAGAGATTCAATAATACATCGTTATCGAAATAGGTAATGAAGTTTATCGATAAAAAACTTCAATGTAGACGTGACGCGTAGCAAATATTTCCTTCTGAAGCTCATCGAACGAAGTAAAGTCTGAATTCCCCAAGGAATGACTAGCATTACTTATTTTTGTTTGATAATGGAATGTCTCCTTTTTTTTTTATAGTAATACTAAGGGACCTAATCTCACTATCATATGCCTAGTCTATTTTTTAAGATGTAGGTATTTAAACGCCATAAATGCACATTCGTGGACTATTATGTTACCGAAGGAACCTTTTTGTGTCGTATTTATCTAATGTAACTAATATGGAGTGTTTTTCTATATGGCACTGACTATCACCTTAGTTTCTAAATTGGTTTATTTAGTCCCGATGATGCAGTGACGAGTAGAGAGGTGAAGGCTAAGGATAATCACCGATTTTATGGCAATCGATTTCAGCAGAAACATTTACATGTAACAGTTTCAATATAATGGTTGAATCACTTTTTTTTTTAACGCAGTACGCTTTATACTACGTAACTTTTCCTTCGTAGTACGCTATACAAAAGGATCAGATTATTGTTTAGCTGTAGAAATTACCTTCACCACTTTATATACGTTTTCTTGGACAGTGTTTTCATTGAGCTGCATTTCGGTTCATTAGGATGTGTGATGCTGTGAAACAGTACCTAGATGTGGGTTTGATATTTTTATAAATGGCGTTTTCAATCGTTGCGTGTTTGCATATTAGGTACCTAATGGCGTTGATGAAGGTCGACGGCGAAGAGGTCGTTAAATTTTTACAAGATATTCTGGACGCGCTGTTCACAATCTTGGGACAAAATGGGGATAGCGAAGTATATGACAACTTAGTATTCGAATGCCTCGTGTTTCTGATTGGCCTCATCTCCGACCGGAAATATCAACACTTTCGGCCTGTGCTTGATTTGTACATCCAGGAGAATTTCAGTGCTACACTTGCATACAAGTAAGTTGCTGCTTGTTTTACTTGGTCAAATTGTTCTCATTCAGTGTAAGTTGACATACTGCTTTGAAAAACCAACGTGTATGCATTAAATATTATCGACGTGTTCTCTATTTACAGCAAGCTCATTATTGTGCTTCGCTATTACGTCGAACATTTGGCCGTCAACTCACTAAACGAGCCAACAGGCGGCGTTCCACTTCGTGTCGTCCGCTCTCTCGAGTATTTGCTCAAGTTTATCGTCCATTCACGCAAGCTCTTCGCCCACCTGAACGAGGACAATGACGCGGAAGCATTTGCCGAGTCGCTGGACTCATTGCTGTGTTCAATCACGAAACTGATGAACTACAAATCAGAGAACATGGTCGAATTACAGGACGCTTGTCTGATGTATTTTCCCTGCGTGATTTCGGACGTCCTTGAAGTGTTCGATGGCCCCAGGTTATCGGTTATTGTTACGCAGCTAATTAACAGCGCACCCCCTGGCCGACTAATGGCACAGAAACTAACTTGCATGAAGGACGTGATCAAGTCACGCTTATTTGATGACCGAAACTGTAGAGATGTCCTTCTACCTTGTTTCTGTAGTCATATCAAGAATCTCCTCGATAATTTCGACTGCGAAGATGTTCGAAAGATTGAACCTCACCGCCTACGGGAGTTTGAGTTGGCGATCGAGACGAGCTCTGAGATGATGCTGTCGCTTTATGGCGGCGATGACACATCAAACGATATCACCATCGTAATGATGACCATGCTTCGAAGCGTTATTCAAACTGTAATCCGACTTGATTGGAGTTCTCCCCTTGTCGGTAATGTCGTAGCGCTAATGATTGACATCTTCCGCCAGATGAACGACTTCCATTTTAAAAGCTATATGGGACACTTCGTAACGGAAACAGATCTAACTGACTTCCTCATGGAAATTCTGCTCGTTTTCAAGGATCTCGTACGAAAAACGGTCTACCCGAAGGACTGGTGTGACATGATTATGCTGCAGAACTCGGTAACGCTTCGGTGTCTGCGGCATTTCTCGCTCACAATCAAAGCCAAGGAGCGAGCATTCAACGAGCAGGTTTGGAATAATTTTTTTCATTGTTCAATAGCGTTCATGACACAGGAATCCCTTCAACTGGAGCAGTTCTCGCCGAATAAACGAGACAAACTGATTCTTCGTTATAAAGACATGCGCCGAGAAACAGGGTATGAAGTACGCTCGATGTGGTTCGCACTGCAAGAACACAAAATTCGATTCATTCCGGCGATGGTCGGACCTATTCTCGAGATGACCATGATCCCTGAATCGGACCTGAGGAAGAATACCATACCAATCTTTTTCGATATGATGCAATGCGAATTCTATAGCACGTTGCGAACAGGAACAAAAGGGCACTTTGGATTGTTCGAGAACGAATTCATCACCAAAGTCGACGTACTGGTGGAGGGCGGTAAAGCCGATCCCGAATATCAGAAGCTGTTCTGCGAACTGCTTCAACGTCTCGTGGAAAATCATGCTGGTTTGCAGATGAGTGGTCCGCGTTTCGTGAAAATGGCTGGTGGTCTTATGGATCGACTGCTACAGTATCGCTCAATAGCTAACGACGAAAGCAAGGAGAACCGCATGAGTTGTACCGTCAATCTGCTCGAATTTTACAATGAGATCAATCGCAAGGAGATGTATATCCGTTACCTGCACAAGCTATGCGATCTGCACCTCGAGTGCGAGAACTTCATCGAAGCCGGATTCGCTTTGAAACAGCACGCCCGCCTGTTAAACTGGTCAGACGACGTCCTGCCAAATCTGCTCCGATCGTCGAAGTATCCGCATTGCGATACACACAAAGACCTCAAGGAGCAGCTGTATTACGACATTGTGGAGAATTTTGACAAAGGCCGACTCTGGGAAGCAGGCCTCGGCCTCTGCAAAGAACTGGATGCACTCTACGAGAACGAGACGTATGATTACAACCAGCTCTCGCAGATCCACGGAAAGATCTCCACTTTTTATGACAACATCATGAAGGTTCGTGTCTATTCTCGCGTTTTTTTTCTAACTTCGGTTGTGGCAATTCTGGCGTGTGCGTGCTTTGTGGTAGTAATTTCCTTTGGCTATTTGAAGTGAATAGATTTATCTACATAGATGTATTTACATTTGGCTACGCACGTGTGCCGCACAAAATATTTGCTTTCAGTTCCTTACTTGTCCACGGCTTTGGTTATAATTTAACCTAAGGTTAAACCTTGGTTATGGCCCAAGTGGTTTCGGCTTCTAAGGGCAATGGTTCTGTCACAGTGCAAGACCGATAATCATAATGCCAATAATAGTTATAATAATCGTTCTGATAATGTAATTCTGTGCTGTCAGTTTTGTAACAGTACACGAGGATCCCATCACCAAAATATACATGTCTGTCCTTGGCTCAATAACGACGTATTTCATCCGACTCAACTTAATAGGTTCTGCGGCCGGAACCCGAGTACTTCCGAGTAGGCTACTACGGAAGAGGGTTTCCGGCGTTCCTGCAAAATAAGGTGTTCGTTTATCGGGGTAAAGAATACGAGCGTCTGGCTGACTTCTCGGCCCGCCTGCTCAACCAGTTTCCCAACGCGTCCCTGCTCACCAAGTTAACAGAACCCGACGATGAAGTCACAAAAAGTAATCGGCAGTTCCTACAGATCAACCACGTCGATCCAGTGATGGCTTACCAGGAGCGTTTCCGTGGGAAAGCGGTTCATGATAATATCCTTCGATACTATAAAGTCAATGAGGTTCGCGAGTTTACGTTTGATCGACTTATGCGCAAGACGCCATCAGGTAGTAGCGAGGAAAATGAATTTGCCAACATGTGGGTTGAACGAAAGACTTTGGAAATTGCGCATCCGCTGCCCGGCCTATTGAGGTGGTTTGCAGTGGTTCGAACGACGACTGTCGAGGTTTCACCAATCCAACATGCTATCGAAACAATGGAAAAAACCAATAGCAAGCTGATCGAAAGTATCCAACAGCAGAAATGTGACAGCTCTACGCCACTCAGTCCGCTCACAATGCAGTTGAGCGGCATCATCGATCCAGCAGTGAGTGGCGGTATAACCAATTACGAAAAGGCTTTTTTCACCGAAGAGGCAATGCAAAACATGACTCCGCAGGATCTCGAGTTTTTGCCAATACTACAGAGAACAATCGCGTTACTCGTACCGATTCTTGCCGAAGGTTTGCGCGTCCATAAGATGCGCATGCTGGACAAAATCCGCCAACATCACGAACACATGGAAGCGTGCTTTGTCCAGCTTAGAGAACATATTGAACGGCACTATGGTACAGCGAGCCTGCCAACGGAGTTAGCCGATGGCAATCAACGCCGTGCAATGCGAAGCTTGATCTCGCAGCCGCCAACAGTTCGTGGTGGTGGCGATAACCATCGAGACAATCGTGAACGCGACAACTCGAACAACTTTTCATCGTTCGCTTCGCTTCCGGACGCCGGGGGTAAGAACTCTCGATCATGGAAGGCTAACTTAACGCTAACGCGAAAGTCCCGCGATAGCCGAGAACGTGAAAACGCAAGCAATACCACCGGGTCCAGCAGTACCGGCCTTATCTTATCGGCCAGCATGGTGGTCGCAACGACAAATAGGCGGAATTCTGGCGCTGCCTGTGACAACGGTCTGGAGCATCATACCGGTGACTGTTGCGAAACTGCCGGACAGCTACGCAAGAAGACGAGTTCAGCTTCTACTCACAGCCTGAGCTCAATGTCGGCCGGTGGTGGTGACACGACATCGATTATCGAACTTAGCGAACCGCTGGTCACTCAGAGGCCTTCGAGGGTCGAGCAAGAACGACGTAGTCGTCCATCGTCGGCGCAGTACACTCGAAACCCATTGAGTCCTCCTCTTCCATTAGGTGATGGTGTAGACGGTCCTAGTGGAGGTTGCAACAATGGAGGGGGCAGTTTCTTTGGTGGTCTCCCGCATCAGGAAAGCCTGCCGGTCTCGTTCCCGGATCAGGATACGCCTCCGCCTTTGCCGCTCAAGGTCAACAGCATCGACTCCTCGATGAGCCTCCAAGGAGGTGGAGGAGGTACATCGAGTGGTGGGGTACCATCGTCCTCGTATTCGAGTGTTGCTGGATCTGGCGGTACCTCCATTGGGAGATCGGTGCCCACGTCGATGTCCGTTGGCGGTGGACTTGATGACGTCGTGGCATTGAGGAGATTGCCACCTAAGATGAAGCCGCCCCCGTTACCCGCTAAGGAAACGGCGTCCGCTTCACCGAAGAAGTGAGCATGAAGTTTCGAGGGATTATGAAAGTAACAAACGAAATCGGGGAACGTATAATATTGTAACCACTGAAGAATACGTTATATACTATTAACGGAAGCCAGTTAATGCACAAAATCAGAGCCATCTCCTAGGGAGCACACAACAGACGCCAAGACACGAAAAGCGCTGATGACTATGCATAACGACCCTGACATGAAGGAATCAATAAAATAATACTATAATAGTTACTGTCCGGCAGGCGATTGCAACCATTTGCAATGAGAGGGACTCGTCAATATTTGAATGCGAGAAAAATTGCGATAGTGATTAATACAAGACTGGGAATAAGCAGAACCCCACAGCAGAGCAAGTGAACGTTTTATAATTACTATTGTATTAATTAGTATATACAAAGAATTGGAAAAAGGCGTGTGTTGCATGAATTAGTAAATACAAGTAATTTCAAATACACATGTGAGATTTGGAGTCATTCAAGAGTCATAGACATTACGCGCCGTGCATAGCATACGATGTCACTATTTTGTGACTTTTACCCGTAGATTAAAATTTTTTAAACTTCTATTTACGTCTCAACAAGATCAAAAGCAACATCAGTATAGGAAATACGACGACTAAAACGACAGAAACCTACAGTGAATTGCGATGTTATATACATGGCGCAGCGGTGCTTTAAAGGACTGCATTCTATAGTGGAACGGAATAGCAAAAAACACTGAGACTATCACATGACACAGCCCATTATAACATTCAACAAAAGATCTTTGAGTCATTTAAGTCTTTAAACGTAAATGGAGCGAAATTTGCATGCGGGCACAACTATACAATGCCCAAATCAGGCATTATCCAAAAAACAGTGTTTTTCTTTTCCTGATGGCGATTATAAACCATAAAAATCACGAGCGCTGACAGAGTGATATATATATGTATATATATCACACTGTCATTCATACAAATAACAGGAAGCAGCTGCAGTCAGTAGCGGTGAGTTGCAAATGGGTAAAAAGTCTCCCAAGACGTAAGAAGAAAGCTATAGAAAAAAGTGAGACCAGAGTGTACGAAAGAAAATATATGAATGTAGCACAAACGGTACACTGTTATGTGACAAGCAATTTTCAAGTGAATGAAGCTCACTGAAATGAAAATTCAAGTGAATGGGGTTATGCAAAATAGGCATTCGCAGACAGGAACCGGAGGACAAGTTCTAAGTGTAGAGAGTGGGTCAGGAGCTGCGATCTGTTTACTACTACTACTATTATTATTATTATTACCATTATTATTGAACATTATACAAACGGAAGAACATGGATGAAAAAAGACCGATGTCCCGCTTGTGATCCCAACGATTGTAGTAAAAATGTGACTGAAAAGAACTGACCATCAAATGACTGGAACAAACAGTAATAGATTCCGTAACATGATGAACAGATCTCGCTGCTCGTAAAAGTGGTGTTTGTCCCAAATAGAAAATTTACGAAAGGTAAAGTTAAAACAAAAATGCTTGGGAGATTTCTACCAGACGGAGTTGGTATTGCAAACGAAGACATGTTCCCTTTTAGGCAATATCACAAAATGCTCGCGGAATCGTTTCGTACTAATAAGGCCATAACGAATATTATTATATTTATTATCATTATCTTTAGATAATTGTATAATACCTCCGAAGTAAACATTTTCATTCGCGCTACGTTTTACACAGGTTTGCTTCAAAGAAACCATGGATAAGAAGAATACAAAACCCCAGAATATGTAAAGTCAATTTTTTAACCTATAAATAAACCAGATATTCCCTTTTGCCTACTGATTTTTCGTGGAGAGATACAGCAAGAGTGGCTGGAATTAGATGTTTAGCATATGGGAAAGCTGCTGGTACATGCCACCAAATGTACAAGGGATTAGTACTTGTACGTGGTAGACAGACACTAACGGCCTGATAGGTCTGAACTAATCCTTTTCTCCTAGTGCATTCACGACAACTTATCGAAAACAAACGCAATCTTTCAAGGACAAACGAACAGATCAAGAATTAAACATGCGTTTTTTAGACCCGCTTATCGACTTTGCCGCCAGTTCGTCTCCCGGTCGAATCCCGCAATAATATGTAGACTACTTTTCGGCTCGAGCGAACACGGGCGCTAACTAATCGTCAGCGCAAAATTTCATTCAAGTTCTCTGGCGCGAACCGAAAATCCGTGAATTTTGATGCAACAAATATTGGACATCGGGTGCTGTACTGGAGTTGCGCACGGCAAAAGTCGACCAAGTGACCTCTGCACACTCCCTGATTTTTGAGTAACGTGGTACAATGTATGTCCGTGTGTTTCGATTATGTGCGAAAAACAGTCGGAGTAAGAGCGTCATGCTGTTAGCTAAAAAATGCCGTGCTTATTGAGTATTATTAGGTGTAATATCAAGTGACACTAGCATATTACGTACAGATACGATTTGTACAAAGAAAGCATATTTAATCCTTATCGATTTTTTTTGGGGTAACTGTTGATGATCTGTTTCGACCTGTTTGCGTGGCGAAAGACCAAGCAAGCAAACTTTCACTATTTGACTATATATATATCATATTTTACATTAAAAGTGTATTTGTTTTTTTATGTTGTTCGAATAACACGTAAAGCTAGCTGTACATGCACGTCTGGGTTCATTAGCTGGCTTCACCGTTGTCACACAGACAGTGTAAAAGGTCGACGAGATGTAGGACATTTTGCAAGTTTGGCTTTCGAATGATGATAGCGATGATTACACGATTAAACAGGATCCGTTGTAGTGGAAGAGATGAGCAGGGACTATAGATTGTTCCACTAGTCAGTAACACAATGTTTGGTTACTTTCTTCCAAGCTGAAGTGAAAACCGCTAGATTAGCAGGTTTTTGTCTTTTTTTTGTTGTTTATTAAATATTATTACTGTAATTTGCACATGTCGATGAGTTGACTTATCACACAGTTTCCTTACTGCAATAATAAATTCTGAGTAATCGTATAATTATTTTATTATGATAATTTATTACTCTATCGTAAATATCTTTGATTAGTAGTAGTAGCACAACATGGAAGCGCCCCATTTTTTGTTGCCAATAATCGAAATAATGCAGACACAAAGCACATCACTTTATTTTATTATTCATAAATTTAATTATCCAGAACGTTGTAGTCCGTCGATTTAGTTGCAATATGGCTACGTATTATAATACACAAAGCATGCTTACTACATTTATTGTTATTATAATGTTTTACACGATCGTAGTTCACGAATCGATTTCTTTAGCACAAGCTATTGTTGCTTGCGAGCTTTGTTTTAGTCTCTCTGTTACCTCCATATATATAGGATCCTAATATTTATTTCAATGTAATGCTTTTGTTGGTCTGCTCGCGTTAAATTGTTGACCTTTGTAAATCATGCTACCCTAATTTCGTTTTCGAACAAAGGGAGAATCCCATCTAGAATAGAACTGTGCCAATACTACGGTGAGAGAATGACGCCAGAGTACAGACAAGGAAAAGCTAGACGAACGTAGAAAACGAATTTGTACATTTCATATTTAAAAGAATTATATTGATACAACAACTACAGTGAAATGGGTCAGTGAAAATAATACGAGACACATAGAAAAATGGACGAACGTCAAGCTGGCACTTGTAGTCATGCTGATAACAAAATTGAAATAATTTTCATAAGCGAAATGTGGATCGATGTACACGATATACGAAATCGCTAAGATCTAGTAACGATTAATAAAACTAAGAGGCGACGCATTATAAATAAGGGAGAAGAACGCATCAATGTATCAACAAAAACAGCAAAATTATGCTAATGAAAGGAAGAGTCATTAATTTTTCATCGTGTTGTTTTTCATATATAGCTTTCCTTTTTGGTAAAAGATAGCAATACCTACTTACCATAGAAAGGTATTAATAGATACTCATCATTGAAAACAAACACGTAGGCACTTCTTCGTAGGTAACATAGCTTAATAAATACAGAGTATTGAATGTGTTCAGCGTCCTATAGGCAACTAGCGTAATGCGATATAATGTTGGGACTGAAACGTTTCGGTCGCTGAAAAGAACGCTGTTTGAGTTGTAGACGCCTTTATCCTGTGTAGGCGACGATTTTTTAATAACAAAAAAAAAAAAAAAAAAAAAGGAAACTTTGCTGCTTGAAGCGTTTAGCGAAATCCTAATATAAACTTAAATTCATGTGAAAATGATAACAAACAAACCATGTTTTGCATCGATGTCGCATTATAGAACACTAGCTAAGTATGCATGTGCGAATCAAACGCGTGTCTTCGACGTAGCTTTTTTTTTTTTACCGAGCTGTGGCAGTTCTTCGAAGCACTAGTAAAAACAAATGCTTCTTTTTAGGATCACCAAACTATATGAAATATCAATCTCTGTAGGACAAATTATTTGTTTGTTACTTCGTTGAAAAGAAAAATGTTGTGTATATACACCTAGGGGTCAATGATACGTCTCGCAGTTAATCATCTAGGTGATATGATGTAAATGATTAGCTGCGATTGACAAATCTTTGGATCATGCCAAAGCTTCATCACTATAATACTAGATAGGACCCAATGTTACTGAAGTATGGACTGCAAAAATTGCAATTACAGACGCATTCTGTGTAAGATATCCTACTGTCTATAGTGTTTGTGTAGTGTCTATAGTGAAATCGGTAGGGTACCTAGAACGATGTTGACAGTGAAACTCACGAAATGTATATAAGATTTCAAGTGGTTTCACTGTGGCTCTGTTTATTACCTCACACTCTCCCATTTGCCTTAGTTTTTTCGGCAATTACATTTTCTGTTGTTTCAGTTAACTCTTGAAGTTCGAATGGCACACTTATGCTACCCTTATTAGCTATTTTCTATCTTTTTTTCAGTTAAGAAATAATGCATAGAGATGAACCTAATTGTTCAACAGTAAAATGTTTCTAATTTGTCTCTTGTCTTTGTCAGTAATCTGCGTAGATGGTGTCCGTTGTTTAATTGCAAATCATTCGCAAGACAATTCTAAAGTGACAAAAGTGCTGTTACTCGTACATAGAGGTCAATCGTATTCCGTAAGTGATATTAGCGAAAAACTGCTTCTAAATCAGATGATTTCATAACAATCTTCTGTAAAGTATGGTTCTTAATAATTTTTGCTCAACGGCGACTTTAGGTCTGGATTCTATTGAACAAAGCAATATATGGCTTTTTCTAAGTCGGCTGCTTGTACCAATTAGAGCATTAGCACCTTCATAGATAAACATTTTAAAGCAATAGGCTATAGTTGGTGCTCACGGATGATTAATGAAGACTCCTTGGGAGTCGGAGGACATATCTAGGTCTCTAATTTTCAATGCTATGCGTAGCTCTGATTTTTTCCACTCTTTCCAATAGCGTCTGAGGTGCTTTCAATAAGAACGTATTATCCGAAAGGCATTGTGGGAATTTTAGACGGACAGAACGATATACAGTTATTTTCGATTCAGACACACTTGTTTAATATACATATTCTAAATAGTTCCTGGAAGGAATTTTCTCACTATTTGTTGGAGCCACTACAAAGTTCAGTCAACCTTGCATGATCATGTGCCATCGCTTCTATATCTACTAGCGATGAAGAACTTACTTCAAAAGACAGAGACGTGTCCGCGTGAAACGTCGTAAGTAGAACGATGCGTTTGTTGACAGAGGCGAGGTTTGCGATCTCCCTGATAATTGAAATTACAATTAAAAACCGCACCGAAAATGGATTTGAAAGGAGTTTAATATGAGGACCCCACCCTAAAAATTTAACAATGGCAAGCGCTTTAACACATCTGAAGGCAAAACGAAAACCATTTGGCGGTAATCTGGTTGCGGCTTTTGGATTCATGCCACGACGTGGCTGAGTATTGATATTCTGCGGAAACGCTATGCATACATCGACGTAAGTGAAACTAAGTTTTGTATGATCTTTAGCCTTTACTTGAACTTATATAGAAACAGACCACGTTACCTAATACGGTCGTTTAAAAATACCAATATGTTTCAGTTAAAGCGGTGTATTTTTTAGTAATTGCATGCAATCTGACTAAAGTTTTAAGGACAAATCTTTTCATGATCATGTAACAGCGCTCATCGCGTTCAGGATCGTTGCGGAAGATGACCGATGTTTCTGAGAATGAACAAAATATATCGCTCATATGTTGTAAATATATAGCGTGATATAGTTACGTTTTTCTTTCAAAAATTCTTCGGTTTTGTAACTTCTGTTCACAAATGGTCTCGATTTACGTTTTATTCAGAATATGACTGCCATACATAGTTTAGGCTAAGAGAGATCTAACATAATGTGAACTCTTAGCAACAGAAAGTGTAACACCAGGAGCAGGAGCGAGGTAAGGTTCACATAGGGCGTCTCTATAGGCTTCTCATAAGATTATTGTAGAGCGGCAGAAAACGAGGCTCATGATAGCAAATAATGATTTATCAAATCTTTAATGAGCTATTTTCTAAACACGCTATGTAGTTGCTGCTGCTGTTGTAAACAAGTGATGACAATTACCAGTTATTAGTTGACACATATGGCGCATGGTTAGTCAAGAGTAAGCAAAACTAAAAATGGGAAACAATAAACATGGAAATCTCTTTGCTTACCTGCTAGCTCATGAACTATCTACTGTAGTAGAATTTCGAAAACTTAAATGATGAAGTCGATCTATATAGAATTTTAGCTCCTAAGGCAATGCCGAACAGCTTAAACACCGGACGTAAAACTCGATACAGTTACTTCATACAGAACCTCAATTATGCGCACTGTCCTTGTTAGCACCGTGTCGGGCAACCAAATTGATTCGAGGTCCATCTAAGGTTCGATTATTTTCAGTGATTTGCCGTGAGTCATTTCCGTTTACGTCTGTATCATTTCATCATAGGTACACACAGATCAACTTGACATCAATTAGACTAAATGTCAGAGCAAGAATAGCAGGGTAAAGCGAGAACCATTAACGAGAACTATGTAATCCTAAGGTGGAAGGGTACGTGAACCGCTATTCGATCGACTAAAATGTTAGGCGCATCGGTGAGCATAAAGATCATCAACTTACAGAAGTTTTCGTACTGTTCACGTCACTACCATGTCATTAAGCTTTACGAACAAGCATGTACTTCTCAGATTTTCTATTTGCCGAAATGTAGTTCGAAGGTATATTAACCTGTTTTGCCGAAAGAAGTAGTAACCTTGACATTATTACAGAAAAAGGCACAAAAAAGGACACTCAATCGAGCTGAACTAGATTATTCATAGTTTCGGCTATAGAAGTTTTCGCGAAAGACGCCGCGAAGTGTTTCCGTTATATATATATATATATATATATATATATATATATATATATATAACGGAAAGAAGTAAAAGTAACGACAACTTGAATAAAAAAGCGATACGCTAACAAAAAAAAAAAGCGACAAATACTAAAGGAACAGGCTACCGTTAAAGCCTAAACGAACGCCTGGGGCGTTCTGCGATAACCAGCAGACGAAGGAAGTCGACAAATCGTTGATGTTTTATTCTACGGCGATCGCGGATTTTATCGAAGGTAACACGTGTAACGCATATTTCTCCTATGCATAATGTTGGTATGGGTGGCGTGTTTACTTTCAGTTTCTGTGTTTCATAATAGCAAACTGCCGAAAACAAAATTGACTAGTACCGCAAAAGCTCGGTAAAAAAAAGGAAAAAGAACTAGACAAAATCGAATCCGTTAGGCGGATGATCGGAAAACTATAAAAGCATTTTAATGGCCAAATTCTTGACGACCATAATGGAGTTCACATTTTGAGTGCTCTCGCAGAAGTCTTCATTGCACACTTTGAGAAGAGTTACCGGAAGAGAAACTTAAAGGATTTAATTAATAATAATAATAATTAACGATAATAATAGCGTTTAATTAATAACGAATGGATGTCGTAATACGATGCTCTGTCAAACCTGTTAATTTGTCCAGTTGTCTTTTTGACAGTGTTGTCGACATATCAGATAAAATAATTATAGAAAATAGTCCCCAAGCGTATTATGGGCTAGTTGGGGCTAACTGCTAAAAAGTCGCTTTCCGAGTAGTATAACTATGAGTGTCGAAGTTTTGGCCAAACAACTCTCTACAAGAAGCGTACTTAATAGAAATCCTGCAACCTGACGTAGCCAGGAGTTTCATTCAAATAATGACCACAACGATAAGGTTCGATTACGACAGCAAACGCATTTGTGCTTAAAACTACGACCCAGCCACGACCTCAGTTTACTGCCGATACCTCCGTTGAAGCTAAACTGTGCCTAATGTGTAGTGTACATCACTTGTTACCAAATTAAGCTGTTTCTTCTTTACACATCTGGGTCAATTGCACTTCTACTTGATTAAAACGAAACTATATTCAGTAGGGAATAAGTTTATACCAGAAAAACATATTTGGATACACTGCGGTCGATCTTTGACATCGATATCTAAGTACCACTAAAAAAGGAACTGCTACTCTACTGACTAGAGGGCCAGCCAATCGCCGATTTTGTAGTAGGTAGAGATGTCTGGGACCCCTTCATAAAAGCTAAAGGACGCAAAGTACTTTCAGGAATTGATTCTTGATATGGATGTGCTTAGCATTTAGAACTAAACTCTGTCGAGTTGATCACAACAATAGGTAGGTTATATGTAAATAACGACAAAGATTTAGACTGCTGTGTTTTGCAGTCCCACGGCTTATTTTACCAAATATTTGTGTGAAAGTAGACCACTATATACACAAAGCGGAACTAATGTACCTTATTTACTATCTGCTCACAAACAACTTTCAATCATAAACCTCTATACATTCTCAATGGTATGTGTTACTTAAGCGATCCGTTTCATCGCATGTTGTCTGAATCTATCTTTAATTATGTCCTAGATACTAACTATTATATACCATCTATAACCCGTTATATATAGTAATAATATAATTCCATGCATTGCTTCCCATTTCATATTTTCTAAGAGCTCTTTATAAAAATACACGTAGAATTCCTAAAAGTGGATAAACACTGCGCGGGACCTGAGAGCCGAGGTAAAAACGATAAAGCCTAGTATGGCTGGTTATATTATCCACAGTCGCGATCGGATGTTTGTAAAATCAGTCGTTTATACTATATGTATGACGTGCATATTCGATAACGACCACAACATCAACGGCCGTTATTGGAGTGGGAGCCTCTGTTATCATCCAGAAAAGTAAAGCAGACTGACTATCCACGGTCACCTGACAGAGGTCACTAAAAACAATAAGGTCGCACTGATCTCAAGGTATGAGCCAGCCTCACGTCATTCTTGGGAACATTGGAGATCCCAAGGTGCTTTACCATTATCATCGGAGTTGCCTGTAGTGTCAGCTATTGCTACCTTTAGCGCTTGGGAAAAACAAGACCGCAATACAATGTCGTAAGTGTTTAACAACGGCATTGTGATGGCGCCGTCAATACAATTGTTAAAAACTTTTGTTAAAAAAAAAACAACGCTAATGAATTACAATGTATTAACACATTTTCTTTGGAACAATTGGAAATTGGCCATGAAACGACGACGATTCTGTTATTATAACGTTTTTAATTTATTAAAATAAAGCCGTTGTATCTACAGGCTATTCATACCCGCTAAAACTTCTCTTTTTCTCGCTGATTTTGTGTACTTTGGATCTCGACCGCTGCAAACATGTATTTTGAATGATTTAAAAATCATCCTTCATAAAATATTTAGCGCCTGCTTTGGCTAGTAGCCAGGGTTTTGTGGTTATAACACATTTTCCTAGACAGAAGCCGAATTCGCTGACTGATCAAGAGATAGGCAAGCAAGAATCATAAGCCAGTGAAGCATAAGTTACGCATTTGATATACATTCGAAACATATTCCCGGATATCTTTTAGACAATAAAATATTTTCATTGTAGAAAGAGAAGGGGATCAAGCTGGAGGAACACGTATGGAGCTTGCTGCATGGCTACAAGGCCGAGTATGTGCACCCCACGTCGTCTGTTGTCGTAGAATCAAAAGGTTCTTGAGAAAACCCAGTATATTAGGCCGACGGTCACGCCAAGAAGGATCCCTAAACACAAGCAAATAGCAGCAAATATTACACCAGACCAGCTACTCAGTAATAGCGAATTGTAGCAGCACCTGTATACCACAAGACAAATGACGATAGCAAAGTTGTGCCTAATTAACAGTTCCCACCTTACGGTTCGTTATTATAATCCTTGCCGTAATAGTCTGTCTATAATCTTCACTTGTTGGTAACTTTCAAGCCAGCGTGTTACGTGGTTTTCATCATAAAGTTTTCTCGTTAAGCCAAAAATTTGTTACCTGCAAAACACCTAGAGAAAATACTTGAAAATTTATCAATTCCGGCAATGATCAAATGAGCCCTGGCATAGTTCCAATAGAATCTGCCTGAGCAGCCGGTGGTCGTGCAATTCTCTCCAATCTGTAAAAAAAAAAAAAGAAAAAAGTAATAAGGATGGAACATTGTCTATCCGGCAGTACAGACAGCGGTATCTTTTTTTAGCGTAATAGGTTTATACTAATGCATCAATTCAAAATATTATATACCATGCGTATAGAACTGATTAATCCCAACTATATTTGATGAAAATGACTCATTCTCTAAGAGAGTTATTACCTTTATAATTAAACGTAGATATTCGATGACTATGTAGCGTAAATACGTTAATTCGTAATATAATTGCAGACAATCAAGTTGATTTCTAGTAGTGTGTTTACTGTTAAGCAACCATTATAATCAAAATAAAATGAGACACACTTGAATATTTTCGAAGATCAGTATTACTTTTAAGTCTCTAATTCTTAAATGTAGCTATCGTACTACAAAGTGGGCCCCTGTTATAATACTAAATTGGAATTAATATGCTATTGAGGGTCTATAACATATATAATAGGCTATTGAGCCAGCTACCGTGGTTAGCTCAGCAAGAAGCTTGAATCAATCGACACGAGTGAGGTTCATTTTCCTTATTTCCAGCTCAGTTGAAAGGTTCTACACTTGGCGGCCAAAATCAAAGCTTCTTCTTCTGAAGTTTCTATATCTGCGCGTGGATAAACGTATACTTGTGTTAGGTGTACAGATCATGAAAATTCAGACTATTACGAATACTTTCGTAATAGTTTTTTTCGAATCAAGCCTAGATTCGGCTGCAATTTTTTAAAGTAAGCTAAGTTTAAGCTGTTGACGCATACCCCGAAAATTATAATTCTTTTAGAGATTTATAACATATCTTGGAAAAATTACTAAGAGTTATTTTTTTTAATATTATCTCCTTTTTTTTTTTGCTTTTTCATCTGAAAGTTGATTCCTTTTATGAGTATATTAGAGTTTAATATTCTTGTACTTTTTTTCTATGAAAAAGTAATTTAGTTATTATTGGTCTAGGGCGCCCGCCCCAACTCGCTCAGCGTAGTTGCCCTTACGAAGCAGACGATGGCAGCCGTAATGTCTGGACGTGGCAAGGGAGGTAAAGGACTCGGAAAGGGAGGTGCCAAACGTCACCGTAAAGTTCTTCGTGATAACATTCAAGGTATCACCAAGCCAGCCATTCGCCGCCTCGCTCGCCGTGGTGGTGTCAAGCGCATCTCTGGTCTGATCTACGAAGAGACTCGGGGTGTCCTTAAAGTATTCCTTGAAAACGTCATCCGTGACGCTGTCACCTACACCGAGCACGCCAAAAGGAAGACTGTCACCGCCATGGACGTCGTCTACGCCCTCAAGAGGCAGGGACGTACCCTTTACGGTTTCGGCGGCTAAACAACAACTTGCCCTATCAAAAAACAACGGCCCTTTTCAGGGCCACTAAATCCAACGAGGTCGAAAACGTTTAAGCAAACTGACCTAAT